ACGACAGGACAGCCCCCGTTTTGGCAAAACACACAGTGGGGCTGACTGGAGGCAGCGCCGAGTAATAATTCGTCGGCCGAATTAGCGCCATAAGTTTGCCGCCGCGACAGCCGCGGGGATAATATTAATCTACTTTGAATTTATACACCGTGCGGTCTTCCGCCGCGTAACTTCCTTCGTATTAAGTCCTCCCGTGGCTTTCCGCTCTCTTTCACTTCCCGACTTTCCCCGGTTTCAATCTCTCCTTCATCGTTTCCGAGCCAACTTATTCTTCTCTTCTTTCATTTTCTCTCTTTTATCTTGATTTTGAGATTTTGATCTTGATCTTGTCCCAATTTTGTCGCAGTTCGTTGAAGTGATGTGTCAAATTCCCTGTATCAGTCATATTTTCTGAGCTTGGCTCTCCTTTTAGCGATACTTCAGATTTGTGTATCGTTTAATGGCATCGTTGGTTCGAGTAGTAGTATTTAGTAATTTATGTTCGATTGTTAAAATTGGTGGATGTTTAATTTTTTAGTTTCTCTGATTAGTAGTAGAATTAAAACGAATTGAAAGTTCCGAAATTGCACTCCCAATGATATCAGTTAAGGGTTAAATCAATGTTATTTCCTCTTATTACATTTATTTCTTTACAACATAAAGGTTTATAGTATTTTTATTTACTGAAATTTGTGTAGTGTTTTTTATTTTATTTGCAACGAACTAATCAACACACTGATTGACGTTATTTTAGAATTAGAATTAAAGTAAATGTAAAATATAAATAACTAAATAAAATAAGCTTATAGTAGCAATAACTTAAAATTGACTTACTTAATAGGAATAATCATAATTTTAAAAAAATAACTAAATAATACAGATGACATAAATAATTATTGATATAAACAGTCATGACTCAAAATTAAATATTACGTCCGATAGGAGGATGAAACGATCTTTACTAATATATTATGTGTTTCACTTTTACCATTCGATAAAAATATGAATTGTGTAGACAATCCAATGATTAATTTTTCTTTTAAATTGATCTTCAATCTACTACAATGCTACGTCAATTCAACGAAAAACATTATTTTAGTTTCATTCGCGTGGTTGATCATCAGAGCACTGGATTGCAAGGGATTAATTTAATTTTCGAACGAGTGTCTTAGAGTATGGGGAGCAGCGAATTTATTTACTCTGCGCGCGTATTAAGACGCGGTCAGAGGGAAGGGGTGAGATTCACCCCTTCGGTGTAGCAGATAAATAACTCAAGACAGCCTGGGAATAACTTAAGACACGCATTCTTGATGAGAAACGGCGAATTGTCCCGCAAGAAATTCACCAAAAGATAAATTGTTGCATAAATGCACACTTTGTCGCACAATATATTAATAATTTATAATTTTTACTATTTCAATTTCTTCTTTTAACAACATGTAAAACTATAGACAATTTTTTAGCTATTTTTTAATATTGACCATTGGTCATTTTGTACCGCTTCTGTGGAGTACACATTCAATAATGTTAAGCATTATCCTTTTCAAGATAAGATACTTCGTCATTCATAAGAAAGAAAGAAGAAACATAGACTATGGATCATTCTGGAAAATATTTTTATATCAACTAAAGAAGTGGAACTTAAACAAAATAATCTCCATTTGGCTGCAATTTTTGGAAATGGGATCCTCTCACATAAAAATGAAGATGCGAAAAAGATTTTTAGCGACTCAAAAGTTTTCGAATTTCTTTTTTCTGTAAATCTATTTCATCTTCTTAAAATTTCTTCATACATTTTATGTATGCATTTTTGCTCTACACGTTCAAATTGTTACACAGCAGAAACATCCGCGTTTTAACTGTCAGCACGATTCCACGAATTTTCTGGCTCGGCAAGGATCGACGCATAGCTGATAAGGTGTCGTGGAAGGATGCGAGAGGCATCGAGCAAAAACGTTCGTCTATCTTAACGCGGTAAACAGGGTTCGACGTCTCGCATGCATTATGCACCGGCGTTACACACCGGCTTACGGGCATCATTCTCGCGTCCTCGCATCCTCCGCGTTTCTCCGTTGAACAGGCCGCAGGAGAAAAAAAATTTACGTTAAGACCAAGCACCATGTGGTCTTCGCCTCGCCTGTCGAAGATTAAGACATTCCCCGGCTAATAATTTTCATCCTCGGCCCGCAGATATTTTGTCCATTTCTCCGCCACTTTTCTCTTCTTCCCTCTTCTCGTTGTGATTTTTTTTTTAAGAATTTTTCAAAATAAAAAGAAAGAAAACCGCTTGAAAGAAAAGAGAAATGTCTGTATCGACGAGGTCGATTTTTTAGAAATTCGATTTTACGTAAAATTCGAAAGTCGAGAATACAAGAGTTTTCCTACGGACAATAGATGTCAGCCGGAAGGTGGAACGCGCCCGAAGGTGCGCAGCTCGAAAGCCAGCTCTACAATTATGAGCCATACCACATCGGACCTCGCCTCGTAACGAACTCGCTATATTCCCGGAGCATTTCAAAACTGGCCGCGCGTAGTAGACGCTCTTTACCTGACCCCCTTGGTCCCTCCGGTTTCTTCCCCTGTTTCACCCATGCTCGGTGGGACGGGGCCCGCTGTTAGGCCTGAGAATAATGTTTCGGAGATGAAAGAAAGAAACGTCGAGGAACTCGCGGCTCTGCACCGTGAATTCCTGATGTTGGTGGACCTCGATCCTCGCCTTCTGCGAATGTTCTACCCTATCTCGTGATAGATGCTCGAACGCGGGAATTAGGAGCGGACGCTCGATAGGTCTGATAATAATTTCGCTTTGTTGTTTCAGCAGAGTTTCTTTTTTATTTTCTTGATTGTTGAGATGTTTCGGTAGAGTAATCTGATGGGGAAATTGGGATTGATATATCTGTTGATTTCTTTTCTTCTTGGTCTTTATATTTCTCATTGGACCAACGATAAATTTGAGACGATAGATTATGAATGAAAACAAATCAATGAGCAGTGTATTCTTGAAAATATAATTAAAAAAATAGAACGTCGGTGTGAAATTGCTTTACGTATCAAATATTATAAAAAACTACTACACTTCAAATATTTTATATATTTTTTCATAGATGGATTCTAGTCAACGATAGAAGATCGGTTTTTAATCTCTTGTATTGACTATCTATTTTGCCTGATTTCTCTTGGCAGAGACGTTTCCCCGGATAAAACGTGGGATTGTTTTGACTGGTGAGGATTCATCGTGAGATTATATACCGCATTTCTCTTTGCCTCTGGTCATTGACTGTTCAGCTCGGCGTGATCTAACTTGCGCTGAATCTCTGGGATTCGTTCGCTTGAAAATAAATCATATTGCAGAAGATGCCATGGCTAGCAGGAAACGGCAACCAGATGTGGGTCCGCACTTTACGAGACATGTGTGTCCAGGCACCGTCGGATGACACTTACTATATTTAGTTCTGTGGGAAAAAGGGGTTCCGGAGACATAATTACACCTACGCGTAACTCGCTCATCTATCTGAGAAATCGTCTTGAATCGATTTAGTTCGAAACTTCTTCCTCTTTTTTTTTTTTTTTTTTTTTCAAATTTTTTTTTTTTTTTTTTTTTTTTCAAATTCTATTTCTTTACTGTTGAAGGATTTCTCGTCTCCTTGGAACATATTCAATATAATTATAACACGTTATTCTCTTTGAACCTCCAATAAGTAAACCAATTATTTTATTATTGACTATAAGATTGTCTGTATCTTATAATCCAGTAGAGTTCGAAGAGTTCAAAGGATTAAATGCAAATAGCACGAAACGATACAATTCTGCTCATAGAAACGAACTTATAAATCTAGAAGTAGATTTACACGACGAATCGTTCACGGTTATCTTACGAGCGAACTCGATTAGAGAGATTTATTGTTGTCGTTTCTGCGCCACGTACGAGAGGCAGATAAAACAATCGTGAGATCGTTCCTCTGGAAAGGGACTTTTAAAAGAGGGAAAGGAGACGGAACGCGCGGCGGATTTTAGTGATGCACATAAAGGACACGTGTGAACAGCTGCCGACATTTCGTGCGACGTTCGTCTTCCCACGCGTCTTCGTGGATCACACGTGGGATCTTCGGGTATTCCACATGGAACGCGGGCCACGTGGATCGAGATCCACATTCATTTCGCCCCGAGATGCCGTCCTGATGAATTAACAAACGGGAGCAAACATTTATTTGCTTTAGAACGGCCGATCTCTCTCGTCTGTAAACTTCCAAACCGACGATTAAACCGAGTCTTTTCGATCGTACGTCGAGCCGAATTTCTCGATTTGATATACATTTATTTTTTATTTAGTGAAAATATACAGGGAAAGTTCTCTTGCTTTAGTGCTAATCGAAAATCAATAAGATTCATACGCATAATATATCAGTCGCAGCTGAGGCGAAAAGAGAGACATTAACAGATGTCGAAATTCTTGCGAATTATGACAAGTCTTGAGTTTTGATAGACTTCGAGTCTTTAATGTTTCGAACTTTCGGAAATTCGAACAGTGAAACTTAGGGAAGAACGAAAATCTCGAAAATCCAAGTTATCAAAAATAAGTTTATGATTGATGAGATTATGATTTATTTAGTCATATTTTTTTGCACCAAAGTATAGTTTTATCAAGTAATTAATTCAAACAAAAGTTGCAAAAATTGAAAACGTAACAACTTGTCTCTAATCTTTTCTATAATGATTGATTTAGCTTAATTCTACATTAATAATACATTAATAAATTCTATTTTATATTTATATTTTAATTTCTCAATATTATTATTCAGACATTATTATGTAATTAAGCTTCTCGTAAATATACAATTATGAAAATATACAATTAAATTATAAAAACATACAATTATATAAATACATTTTCGTAAATATACTAAACATACAATTATATAAATATATATTAAAAATGTAATAAAATATTACAACTATGTAATCGTAAATTTTAAGGAATAATTTAGTGTCGATCTAACGAAAATGTTTCCATTTGATTTCAGATCGACACACCGATAGAAAACGAAGCAGACGTCACGTCAGATGCGAACAATCCCGAGTCCATTTTCCCGGAAAAGGGTTTCAAGGGTGAGTGAAAGATCGCAGAAAATTATACCGTATTTTCATAAATTCTCCTACACGATTTAGTATCTTCATGCTGGAGTTCACATATCCCTGTATAATCAATTCCCATCCTGATTTACAATTCTCATCTCGACTCCTTTTGATTATCCGATATTTATGTTGTAGCAAGAAGGAAAAGAAAAATAGAAGCTTTCTAGAAATACGTTGAATGTTTAAAAAATTGAGACAGTTAATTCTCAATAATGTCACTTTTTTTTTTCTTTAATTATATTTTTCTATTTTTTTTCATATTTTTCAGAAAATTGTGCCACCGAAAGTCTCGCCGTAAGAGGAAGAAGCACAAAATAAAATTTTCTAATTGGAGACTCGGTTCTTTCACCGATCAGGCCTTCGATCTTCTTTTTCAGATTCCAAATTAAATCAAAATTTCAATTTTGTTGATCAACAGAAACTTTTCCAAAAGTGTCTTCTTTCGCGGAAAGAAGCCGGCGGGGAAAGTGCGCGGAAACGGTGTCGAATCGGAAGTCGTGTGAAATCGAGAGGCTCGAATTAAGGCTCCGGTTGTCGCGCGTTCAGACACTCGTGCCGATCTCTGGGCGAAACCAATCCACTTAACTCTCAACCCCCTTAAGCGCCCGGGTGCAAGAAACGCCGTGAAGGTTTTGTTCTCGGACAAAAATCTGACAAATATGCCGCGATTTGCCGAAGAATGGAGGCGAAGTACAGTCAGCCACCCTCGAGCCACCCCTGCCCGTCTTCCTTCGCTCCAAGTATTCCCCTCTCTTCTCTGCGCGTCCGTTCTCCCCTCCCCGGGAGAGGGTGGCGAGCAAAGGGTGACTCTTAAATTACTTAGACCGAACAAAACGTAACAAATGACGGTGAATCGGGCCACTTATGCGATATTGGCCCATCACCGGCACCCACGTATATTGATACGTCGCATTAGGGCCTACCAGAGACCCACTCACCCCTCTTCGAACCTCTTCCTTGTTCCGCGTGATTTCTGCGCGAACGCCCAGATCCGATTCGTTTCTCTGGTTCTTTAGTTTATTGGGTCGAGTAACGAATTCTATATTGTTCTATTTTGAAGAAGAACGAATACGACATTGCAAAGGATATAAGATAGATTAGGCCATTTAAACGCGATGGAGGAAAAATTAATGTTATGCTTGATAAAAATTATTGGGGCGTTGGAGATTGTTGGAATATTTCTTGGACTACTAATATTTGGAATGTTGATTAAATTAATTTAATTTGAACGTTTGAACATTTTCTTTGGATTACTTACGCTGGAAACTTGGACGTTCATGAAGTGTGTTAGAAATTATTTCATTTTCCCTTTTCGTTTCTATTCAACATGTACAGTGAAGGTAAATTTGGTGTTTGTGTTATATAAAATATTTTGAAACTTCATCAGCATCGTAATAAAAGACAACTATTGTGATTATATCGGTCAAGTTTGAAACTTATCTGAAATTATATATAGTAATTGCAAAATAATTATTGCAAGCAGTACATATAGTAAAGAACTTGTATAAATGATATATTTTATATGATTAGATAAATAGATAAGATGTAACTTATATATGTATCAAATAAGTCATGTATACATGAATAAGTCTCTATGTACATCTGTAAATTTGTTTCAAACTTGACTGACATAATCATTCGTGACCAATTTTGATCGGTTCATATCAATCATAGTATGATCTATTATCTCATCGGGTGTAGGAATTTTTCTCTAAACCATGGACATTGATAAAAGTTGGTCTTCCAACTCGACGCTTACGAAATAAATTGAAATATAAGTTTCTTCGAGCGAAAGTGTTTCCTGCAAAGACCTCGAACGTATTCCATCTCTTTCTCCGCCAGTTCCTGCGAAACTTGGCTCGCTTGGTTATTAATGGTTTTCACGAACTCGGTTCATTAAGGAGCTCGCGAAACTCTGCACGTTCACACTAGTCAACTACCCTCATCTCGAACAGGCAAACGTGTCGAAAACCATAGTCTTGCTACAAATTAGCAACGTATATTATTTTCAAACGTTGCAATTTGCCTCACGGCCTGTCAAATTTTCCCGGCTTCTTTCGCTTCTTCCACAGAAATTTTCACTTCAGATTTCTTCCTTCAGATCTCTCTACCAGTAGAAATCGTTATAAAGCAAAAAAAAAGGAAGTGACCACTTTATTATTATTAAAAGACTTTGTTGCTTCTGGAATACAAGAACTATAGAGTATGAGTATGGTCTGTATATAATTTGACATTCGTAAAATTTAAATGAAATTAAAACGAAATTCGTATGAAAAGTAATAAAGTAAGTAATCCAAAATTACGAGTTCTACTGTTCGGTGAATTTTTATTTATTTTAAATTATTTGACTAGAAGCTCTGTCTTTAACTTAGGGTATCCTCAATAAATCTTTCAATAATTTTAAGTATTTCTATGATATTTCCAATTGTTCTCTAATTATAGTATTAAATATAATTTTTATTATCCTAGTTTAAATTTAAATTAATAAATAAGAGCCTGTATCTGTTCTGTAGGTTCTGTAGTTTATATTAAAGTTTCTATGATGTAAATCTGTCTACTCTCGAATATTTTTACAATCTTTCACTTCTATAATTATGCTGCGCTAGAACTCCATTCAAACTCGTATTATACGAACAAAAGATCGCTGGAAGGAGAGAGGAGAATCAGTGGAATTATTCATCGGGGTTTTACTACGTTAAAAATACTTTTCAACTGTTTTATTTAGAAATTCTCAATCAGCGTCAATGATCTTTCGAGCCTTTTACTTCTACAGTTCTTTCAATTCATCGGCATAAGCTTAGGAAAAAAAGAGAAAAACAGGGAGAGAGAGAGAGAGAGAGAAGAGGAAAATTCGAGGCAGATTTTCGACTAATCGTTTCGGAATCGTTGACACTCGTTGGGTAAAAATTCAAAGGGCGGGCAAGAAGGTGGCGAAAACGAGGCCGTCGGAGAGGGCTCGGCTCGCCCTTTCGACGCGGTGTCGTATCAATTCTCCTTCTCCTTGCTCCCCCCGGGGGCCTTTTTGCCAACCGCTAGAATTACACGCGCTATTATCGCAAAAAAGCACGGCGAAGATAAGAAGCCGGGATTCGCGGCGCGGGCAATCCACCGCTCGCGGAAATCCAGAGATGAAGACATTATCGTGATCGTTGGCCGCGTGTTTAAGCGTCGCAAGAACGCAAAGAAGACGCGGCCAGAGAACAAACGAGACGTTCCGCGAGAGAAAGAGAGTGAGAAAGAGATAGAGAGAGACGATGCATCTGTCCACCGGTTCACTAACAAGTGAACATGACCCGCGTGTAGCGATGTGTTATTACGTACGTATGTACTTTGAATCGTTTCGAATATGTATGGTAGAGAGAGAGTCTTGTAACTGAACTGATTCAACAGGAAAAACCTATCGTCGGTCTGCATACGGTGCGTATAAATTCGCGAATAATTGGCAATTAAGGACAGTGACATTTTTCGAATTCTCGCTTTCCGAGGATCAGCGCTTCGTTACGATTTTTGCGTCGATTAATTAGTCACTGGTCGACTGTACAGATCGGAGATGGAAGGGAAACCTCTGGTCTTTTGAATTGAGGTAATTTTCGTTCGTAGTGCAAGAATCGGCGGTTCGTTTTGTGGCAAATTTATTTCATGGAGAATTCAGTGGCATTTTTAGCCGGTTCTTTTAGCCCGACAGATTTTCTCTGTAATTTCTTTGCGTATCAGCACAGTTCATGGATTTAACTGAATTTAATATTTCCTATTTTATTAACTAATTGATTAACGTTAAGAAATGAACATCTCCGCCGATTGAATTAAAAACTTGTAACTCCAATCCTCCGAGTTAATCAATTTATTCTACCTTCCAAATTCCAGCAAGTCTAATTTTCCACATGTGAGCAGATTTTATAAAAGAATTCTTCTTACTTAAACCATTTATTTTCCAAGGAAAAGTATGAAATTTTAATCTTTCAATTCAAGTTCTATCTCTCAGAAAGAAAGATACTATTACTAAAGATACTATTTCTTCGGACAACATTAGATAAAATAAAACAAGAAATTCAATCTCTTTCTGCCCGCAATCACACCATTGCACCGAGGATTATGTAGTTCGCCAGATTCGTTTCTCTCCCCCCCTGGAGAAACTTTTTCCCTTCCCGGTGTTCGTCAGTATTCGCGGCCTCTCCGCCAAGAGAATCGTTCTAGGCCAAAGATGAGATAATGCAATAATAAGTATAAGTTAGGTAGGAAAGGGTGTTGCCCCGCGGTCGGGGAACCAGTGCTCTTTCGCAATCTTCGGTGCCGGTTGATTATTATGTCGTTCCGGATGGGCCCCGAGCATTTTCACGAGCACTCTCTCAATCGTTTCGTTGCGTTTTCTCGCTCATGCTCTTCTTGTTCTTCGAGAGTGGGCGAGTTTGATGGTTTTTAAGCTGGGCTATCGGTTCGAGAATTGGAGTATTTGCTCGGGGGGATTTTTAGGAATTTTCATTAAAAAAGATGTAGTGAGAAAGACAGTAACTTTTTAAGCGATAACAAGTATCAGACAAAATTTTTCATTCAGAAAGGGATATTTTTAAAACGTTGACGTTCGTTAAAGATAACTTGCCAGTAATGTGAGATAGTTAGATTGGGAATTCAAGATTTTTATCATTGATATAGTAACATATAATGTGGATATTATATTCAAAAAGTGGCTTTTAAGTCGAGATATCCAGTTTACCGAGAATTGGAATACTTATTCGGGGATTTTTAAGAATTTCGTCGAAAAAAAGACGTAGTCAAAAAGATTATTTTTTAAGTGGTTGCCAGTTGGAATAATAAGTATTAAACAGGAATTTTTATCCGGCAAAATATTATCTACCGAATATCACGCAAAACGACTCTACCTTCGTAAATTCAACACTTTCGAATGGCGCAGATAATTACCGAGTTACTGCAAGGTAAACAAACGATCGTTTTCTGTGATTATACCGTGGCGAAGGCCGAGGTCAAGCGGAGAAATGGATGGGTGAAAAGCGAGGACGCGAACGATGGCGGTGAAATTGATGGGAACGTCTTATTCCGAGGGCCCTCGTCCCATTCCCTTCCACGCTTTTGTCTCCACTCTCGTCTTAGCTGACTATGACAAATAATTGCCGAAGCTTAACATAAGCCAGAGGCGGTATACTTAGCTAATAGCAAAAAAAGAGGGACGGGGGAGAAATAGGAGGAAGTTTTACGTTCTCGCTCACGATCTCTCTTTTCACTCTGCGCGGTGTCGGAGCAAACTCTCTGTCTTCGAATTCCCCTAGAAATCTCTCTGTTTCCTCTATTTTCCTTGGTTGATGATACTGTCCTCTTACGTAAGAGATCTTAGTTGCATGGGAAATCTGGTGGATTTCATCCGAAAATTGCACAGACGCAGAATATCGAGCAGTAATGTATAACTTGAGAAATCTGTCGGTTCCAATATATGTTTCAATTATGTATTTGTATAAAATAATGAGAATGTAACGTGTAGTAATTTGACAATAGTAATAAACAGTAATAATATTTGTTCGTGGTAATATGGTGAAAATATTTTTTGGGAAATTTGTAACTTGTTCTATATAAACGATGCAATTTCGTAAATCTAAAAATCACATAAATGCAAAATATTCGAAAGTAAAGTAATTTATTAAATATATTTCGATAATAGGTATTTCAATATATTTCAGTAATTTTCACATTTCAATATTTTTTCAGTATATTTCAATAATATGTATTTTCTAGAAACAGAACAGATCAATGGTGAAAAAAATGCACGTCGATATTCCTTTCTCTTCGCTTTACTTTACACGCTGGAATGTCGTGTTATAGTTCGATTAAATTATTCGCACGCAGTTTAATTGGAAGAGAAGAATCGTAAGAAACGCAGAGGCGAACGTTTTTTCTCTTCGTCTCTTCTCCCTGACGATGCTTTTACGATTCGCGAGGTCCTCGAAGGGGGGAGGGGAGAGAGTATTATCCGAGAACGAGTTTCCAGTGTTCTGACGACGAAACGAGTTATTTCACGACGCGGTGCAGCCTGATGCTAAACGCTGCATCGACATGGCATGCGTGACACCCTTCGTCCCGTCATTTTCGTCGTCACCAGTCGTCCTTAATGTGAATTTAAGAAGCCTCACAAACGACCGTCGATCCTGGATTTCCATGACTCGTTTTAAATTATTTCTCGTCCTGGTACGCCCGTTTCTCATTACCATTTCCCAATCTTTTGTTAACAATCATGCACGCTGTTTATTTCTCCATCATCGAGTATTATCACTCATCAAATACTATATCATTTGTCGAATAAATCTAAGCTCTGTTAAATATTGTTCCCAACAATTATGTGTTACAGTTATTGTCATCTTAATTTGATATATCGTAGTAATTACAACAATTATTAATTGCGTGCATGGTTTTCTGTCAATTTTATTTTGGACATTGTTAATTGCTTTAATCAATAGTGTATTGATATTACTTTCTGTCGGATCAAATTATTTAGTTATTTCAAGTAATTTAAATTTAAAAATAATTCAGTTATTTTTTTCTTTACTTTCAGTTAATTTAATATTTATTAGTGGAATAATTCAGTCGCGTTTTATTTTCGTATTTTATGTAATCTGACCTTTTAACCGTCACACGTTTCTCTTTTCAGATCTCAGTTTCCAATTCCTGTTACTTTCAACATCTCTTACTAATTTCATTTTGTTTCTTTCTGACCTCTTCTAGCTTCTAGCATGCAGCAGCAATTCCACTCGAATTAATCCTGTTTCTCTAAATTTCAAATCCTGCGTTAATTACATAAATATTTAGAAGAAAAGATTGCGGATGTTTATGTAAATTCACACTTTTATGAATTTAATTGGACAGATCCTACTTGGACAAATATTTGTTTCGTTTTGCAAATTTTTAAGTCCCAATTTTGACAGAAGATATTCTTTCGAATTAGAAAAGTTTTCAAAGAACAGCAAATAATTAATACGGAAATTAGTTAAAAAATGTTAGAACGAGTATTATGGTTATGGTTATGGTTATGGAAATGTATTATGGTTTGACAAAAAATTTTCTTTTTGTGGAAAGGTGTGATTCTATGCTCGATCTTTTTGTAAAATGTTCTTTCAAGAGCTGGAAGTAACAATTTTATATTTTTGTGACTACTATTAGAATGAAATTTAAATAGAAAATTCCATTATACATTATTGTAATAATTATATTTTTCATATTCTCGCATGTTATATTCAGTACATTTTCTCACCCGTAAGTTCCCCAAAAGTACATAAATATTCGCAGTCGAAGCGATATCAGAACTCGAACCACGAAAGTATCTATGTTACTAATATGTCTGATATTAATTTCATGCTATTTTATTGTATTATTATTGTTATACTTCGAGCACTCGGTACGACGTCCAGTTCCCTCAGAACGCGTCAAGAATGGTCAGCCACGGCGTCGAATGAAACGCGCTTCGCGGTCGACTGACTTTTCCGAAATGTTTTTCCAGCAAGCAGGAAACGACCGGGACCGACTCCGTTCTTTTCCACGGCCGTTCTTTTGTTCTCGACTACGGAATCCTTTCTCGCGATACCCGACTAGAGTGTCCGGGAAAGGAAAAAAAGAAAGAGAGAGAGAAAAGAGCTCGATCCTGCACTCGGTTTTGTCTCGGCGATTCTCGAACGAGGTAAAAAGCAAAACAGGATCGTTCCACGTGATCTTTCGTGGATTTTCTAATCGACGAATTAAACGCGTCGCGATATCGCGGGGAGGTGAAATTCTTTTGTTTTTGATTTTCGATTCGTTTCGAATTTCCTTGTCCGCGCAAGAAATCAGTCTTCCGTTTGTTCGACTCCTGCGTTATCCTTCAACTGAATTGCTCCATTCGTCTGTTCCATCCAGAGCTTTTGATCTCTTCTTTCAAACGAAATTCAATCCAGCATACTCGGCATGAAACACCTTGCAGCTTGCGTTTAACTCAGATATGTCGAAATATATATATATATAAGATTTAGTGATTTTTTAAAAAAATATTTTTTATAATATTAATGTTATATTGTAATTTTCTTTTTGTTTGGTGCTTGAATTAGATTGTATTTTGTATTGCATTATATTAATGTATTGTCATGATTGTTTACTTTCAATTGGTATAATATTTATAATTACTGTTACGCGTAATTCATTAATTTATTATTATAAATTCGTGATGAAAATATGAAACGTCATTGTTATGAATACTCTCAGTTTAAATTTGGTGAATGTGTTTTAAAATTTTTTTCTACAAACATGGATTTAACATTCGGAGGAGATTGAAGATATTTTTCATTCCTGCTGAGCAATTTACAATGAAACTTTACAAGTTACAAATTACATTCTACGTACACCAATTTAATAATAATGAATTACGTTAAGAAATTTCTCAATAAAGTAACGAGCATATCTGAGTTAACAATCACGAAGAATACGAAGAACAATGAAACACAACAACGAGAACATCATCCACTAAACAATCTACCAGATTCTCGCTCGTCTCCTGTCTTATTTCAGCGACAATAATAATTAATTTTGTTTCAGGAACGGAATTGGTGCCGAGCTGATCTGCGTCACCAAGGATCAGGGGTTAGGCAATTTGTGGCGGGACGTTTAATAACGATAGTCGCGATTTAACATAAAATATTTTTCTACACGAGTTATCTATATACATACTATATACATATATACATATTAATCTGTACAATAACGTATACAGAAGGCGAGATATATTACGTTGCTGTAGCATATATGCGTGTGTGTGTGCGTGCATGTGTGTATAGAGAGACAGGGATGTAAGTCGAATGATTGCATTTTTTTTTTTTTTTTAAGCATTATTACCATTGTTTCACGCACAGGTAGGGGTGAGTCTGAGAAAGGTGAGAAGTTGCGGAGGAATGAGTGGCGACGAAGAAACCCAAAGAAAGAAAGATTCGGCGTCCCTCTTTTTTGTAATTATTATTATTGGCGAGTCTTTCGGTGGCTAACGCGCCACATCCGAAGTAGAGGGACGATAGAACAGAGTGTAACTCAACAGAAATAAGGAGAGAAATTTTTTCGCGAAGGGATGGTTACGTAAAAATGAAACGAATCTTTTCTTACATTTTTCTAGCGTCAAGTAGCGATTAGAAATTTAAAACAAAATCCTGCATCTCATTTCCAAGAAAACGGAAGCCCAGTTTCACGACAAACGAAATCAACATCTCTTCCTCTGTCGCAGAGTAGCGATTGAGAAAGAAAACTCACCCTTTTTCGCGCATCAAGTAATTTAGTTCCGCCTTTTTGGCGTTGTGCATTCTCTGTCCTAGATTTAGATTCTTTGCTCTTGAATGTTTGCTTCGTTCGAAACGGAGAACGTTCTATTAGTTTATAACATTCCTTCCTTTCTCTGTTTCCTCTTAACCCTTTAACCGGGGATGACGATTTAACTCGTCACTAAAATGCCTCTCCAGCGCTCAAGGCGAGCCAACTCAACTAGATTTCTAGATATTCCAATTCCTCGGAAACAGATCTTCCAATCTTTCAATTGCGCGTTACCTCGTCATTCCCAGTTGCAAGTTAACTCGCCAAAGAGTTGGGTGGTGTTTCACGACGAAAATCGTTTCAGTATTAATATTACTCGTTATTTTTCACTGTTGATTATCATTCAATAATAAAGTTAAATTATTCTTTGGCGATATAAATTAAACGATAGAATATTAAATAATGCAAAATACAAGTGATGTAAATAGCACAAAAATGATACAGCAACACGGGATTAAAATGGGAAAAATAACACGGGAAATAAAATAAGGATTAGCGAAGTAACTGGTAAACTCATTTTCACGAGCCATTCTTTCCCGTTGGATGACTACTCGAGAGAACAACCCAGTGTGTGAATTTGTGTCTTCGCTGTGTTGTAACATGGTGCTGAGCAGAATTGCATTTCAAATAGAGAGAGAGAGAGAGAGAGAGAGAGAGAGAATGATTCGAGTTTTGGGTATCGCTGACGCACGTATACATTTATAATACATTTGTACGTTAGAAATTGGTGCGCACGAATGCGAGGATTGCGTATGATGGTACCGATCAAATGGTACCCGCGAATATTTTTGGTGTCAAATACAAGAAGCGATACACGAGAAGCTTCTTTCTTTCTTTTCTTTTTTCTTTTTTTTTCTCTGCACTTTGACGAATTCGCTGTACTGACCGAAACTTCCTTTTTTTTTCCATTTCTTACCTCCCCCTCGGTTCTCGATGTATCGTTGTCATGCGAAACTGTGTACATGGCTGTATCGTTGCATAGACAATGGTTATAGGTGCGTTGGATGAGGATCTAGAGATCGTAGGAGTAATTTACTGTTCGTCGTAGAAGCTGAGAATAAAATGGCACAGTACTACTGATTATGTATACGTCGACGTGTTTCCGAGTGAATTATTTCTATGAATTATCCCTTTTTTAAAATTTCAGGTGCGACCACCTGTCCTTGTTCCTGCCTTTCATACTTTTCTTTTTTTTTTTTTTTTTTTTTTTTTTTTTTTTTTTTTTTTTTGTTTAGTATAGTTACGTTTTTAAATAAACTCGAGTTAATTTAAATATGTATATACTTAATTTTTGTCTTTTTCAGCGAAATCGCCTACGTAGATGTATTCGACTGTTTGATTTCTCAGATTATTGATTTGCATATTGATTGCCTTGTATGCTTACCTTCGAATATCGAGTCGCGGTTTGGGTTAGGTTTCCACGAGGAAAGAAATTTCCACTAAGAAATTTGGAAACAAAATCGTAAGGCAAGGGGTTAATATTAATGAAACAATATTTATTATATAAAATATTTCTTGATATAATTTTGGAACACGATGCAATGCTTGCTTCAAGAATTGCAATTTTTCTCTATAAAATTTCTGAGCCAAACATCTAAGTATACACATCTCGTTTAATTTTTCAATGAAACATTTCTTTTCACCGTTTCTTATTAGTACAGTCTTGTTCAATATTTTGTTTTCAAATTGGCCGAGAAGACAAAGGAGAAGGATTTTTAGGGGATTGTTTATAAAGCACAGTATGTTTAACAAATAGCCGGTGCGTTCCGTCAAGATTACAACTCGCATGCGGGTGCTTCGTGATACGAATTAGGGAAAAAGCTTGATTACCGTGACATTTGTAAGGATTAGAAAGGGAATAAGTAAAAAAAGGGAGCTTAGTGGCCGGGAAATCTGTCCCATTCTAATAATTCGTCGCGACTTTTCTTCTCTCCAATCTCCCGTCTCGTTGTTGCCTTTTCTGAAAGCTTTCTTCTTTGTCAAAGGTATCTGATTCTATTATTATTCGTTGGATTACGGTAGTTCATGTTATACCACAAAAATTTCGGCTATTTAATTTTTGTTTCGTGCGAGTTTTAAACTAGCAGTGAAATTAATTTAAATTAATGATTCCAGAATTTAGTAATTTAAAGTGTATCCTAAATCTTCAATGTTGATTTTTATTCTTCACTGATTTAAGTTAAATGTTAGAAAATCAACAATCTTTACTCGTCCACGAAAATATTTTATCTTGCTTTTATTATAAATATTAAATCATGCCTCGTTTTTGGACGTATCTCTCTTCTCCACAAAATACATTTGAACCAGTTCACCAGTGAATATCAGTCAAGAGTTAAGCGAAATCAACAATTTTTATTTATGCTTCTTTGCTCTCCCACTAAAAAGTTTGTACTTTATTTTGTTCTTATTGCAAATATTAAGGTTTCTCAGTTCGTTTATTTCTTTTCTCTTTCACAAAAATGTATTTTAACAAGGCTATCATTGCATATCAGTTATAAGTATTCTTTTGCACTTTTTCTTTACAAAATTCAGTTACCAGTTGAGAATTAAGCAAACTTCTTCTTTGCTCTTTCAAAAAAAATTTTGTACCTTATTTCTTCCTTATCATAAATATTAAAGGAGTCTCAGTTTTAGTGGTATCTCTCGTCTTGCCACTTTGATCTCTCCCACAGGAAAAAATACATTTCAACAAGTTTCACCATTCAGAATACATTTTTTTGCAAAATTAACAATTCTAATTTATACGTCCCTCTGCTCTCTTACCGAAGAATTTAATAATACTGTACTCTGTACAAATATGGAACAAGCTTTTCATTTTACCTCTCTCTTCTCCGCAAAAAGATACATTTTAACTAATTCGAGTTGTACCTCATGGTCGTCTTTCTTCTTTTCGAGTGATGAAAACAAAAAGAGAGAAAAGAAAAAAAAAAAAAAGAAAAAGAAACGCGAGGGTTAAAAGTCTCGTACGATCCAAACGAGAGTCGGCTGCTGAAATTGGTAGCTGTTAATTAATTAACGCGTCCCGCGACGGAACGACGCGAATTCTGCCTGCCGACGATTTACAAGGAAGTTTAATTACCCGGTGGTAAGTTTAATGTAGTTAGGCCTATTGAACGCGCCGGCAAGATTGTTTTACAAAGTAAATGAGGCAATGATGACTCGAGGCTTCGGGACCACCTAGAAACCAGCCAGAGGTCCTTCCGAGGCTCGCCTTTAAACTTCTCCAGAATTAATTAACGTACAAGCACCACACGGTGTACAGGTTGCTTCGTTGCTTTCGACTTTCGACGCCTAGATCGACGAAACTGGGACAGGGTGAAAGTGTCCAAAAACTTATTCATTTTCGTCACTACATTAACTGGAGGTATTTTTATATAATTATACATATTTTTATGTATATTATTGCATATTTCGACATTTCATTTAATTTGTATAACGAGAGAGACGACTAATCTGAAGTTAACAAGATATTTTGTTAAACCTAAAAGGGGAACGCCTTATATCGATGATTTAGGCTTTCTGATAATTTTTATAGGTTTGAATTGTGTTAGTAATTTTCTGTTGGATTTAGTTTAATAATAGTTTGTGCAGCTGGCCGTATAAATAGTCGATTTCGTTCGTATGTAATTATGAAATTTTGTTATTTTTAAATAACATTTGGTAGACGTCGTATGGGAGTTAGTGCAGTTTACAGGTGTCGTTCTTGAACGATTGAAAGTAAATATATTTGATAGAAGATACAGCATGAATACCAATCTCAAGCATATAGTTATCTTTTTTTACAAAGTTGTATCAGTTGAAAATTATATATAATAAATATATAATTTTCCATTGTTATTGGTACAATTGTATGAGTATCTTCACTGACTCTTTACGTGTTATATTTATTTTATGCATTTTCAGATAAATTTCTAGTTCAGCTTCTCCCAATTTTGGCTTTTGATGTTCTGTGTTTTTTTTTAATAAAAAGAAATGCTGGATCTCATATTTTTCAATATGGAACGAAACGAAAAGAAAGAGCGAGTGTAGCGAAATAATCGAAATTGTGAAGAGCGGATAAACTAGAAATCTATCCATTTTTGTATCTTTAAATTCCTCATAAAGTAAATCATGGCCATTTATAATACCAATAATAAAAGAAACGTCCGCAGTCTGACAGTTGTAGATATTATGCTTCCAAAAATTCGCGCCATCGCGTCGCATTGTCAGTCATCGATCCAGACCGATCCTCGATCCCCAGACTCAGACTAAAGGGAGAGGATACAGACGGTCGACAAAAAGTTCTGCTCTAAGGAAAGAAAACAGAAACCCCCGGCGGAGAAAGGAGTCGGCAGGGTAAAAACGAAGATCGAGAGTGGAAATGGAAAGGAAACGTAGGATGGGGTTGTTACCAAAGAAGTGTTGGCCATTTCCTCGACCTTGGTGAACTTCTTTGTGGTAACTGGAGCTCGTGGATCTCAAACGAATGAAATTTTTAATACGCGGATACTTGTGTATTTCTGTATATTTCTTACTGTATGTGACGAACACTTTACGGAGGATCCACGGGAAAAAGGTCTAGGTTTGGACAAAAAGTTTATTTTTTAATATGTAACTTGACAATTCCATATTTTTTTATATATTTAGAGAATTTTAATTTGTAATGAGGCATAGCCAGTGACAAAGGGTACACATACGAGGAAATGTTGAACTCTTAATTTGTTAAAGTTTTTTCTATGGATCTTTTGTTTCAAAAACTATAACAGAAATACATTGGCGAGGAAAATTAAGGGATCATTAAATTTTCCGTGAAAAATTGCCGATATTCGAACCATTAGAATTTCATGGGAAAGAAATCACTCAGGACTCTCAGGGCAAGATGTTTTTTCTTTCTAAAAATTTTAAAAAATTCAAAGTATACGAGAATTAAAAATTGAAGTCTCCTTCTCACTTTTTCGTTGCTTTATTGTGTCTTGTTGTGCCAATAAAAAGTCCGTTTTTATTAGAACAATTTGAAGTTTATGCATATGTGATTAGTTTGATGTATGCATGTTTAATACGTTTTTGTTTAATATGTGTATAGTAGTGTCTATGTTTGTTGTGTGTGTGTTTATGTATATTTATACATTAGATATACACACACCATAAACACTAGACGTATACATTAAACACACACATGCTAAATTATAAAAATTATACACGTTAAATTAGAAATATAATACGAAAGATCTGTAAGTATACTAAAAACATGAATATTTAATTTCTTAAACTTCAGTTACGTTCAGTTTTTTCAACTTGTCTTAAATGTTTCAAAATTGCAGTTTTTATCGGTTACTTACTGAGAGAAATTAGCAAAATTCTTCAGCGAGACTTTCAACGAGAGCATGTTCCTGAAGATTTCTACAGCGCGACGTAAGGTCGTCGTTGAACAATGTTACGATAAGATTCACCAAAGGGGACAAAACTATTTCTGCCTGGTAGACAATGAGGGGAGAAACTGGCGAGTCAAACGCAAAGCTGAGATGACAAATGAAAGGAGATCTCGTGTCGCGTGGGTGGTGGTGGTGAACTGTTTCATTTGTTCCGTAGTTATATCTCGGGACCTCTCTGTTTCTCTCGATCTGGATATCTTCTCTGTGAAAATTCTCTCCTCTTATTTTTCTCAATCAATTTTCATAATTAATCGAAATGTATGATCGTAGATTTAGTCGTAATGTTATAGTGTGTAATAACGAGTAACACGAACTCGAAGACAAGTGAACAACAACATAAATAATAAAAGGGGATCAAATTTAAAGAAGAATAAGTATTAACAAATAACTAGGGAAACTGCAAAAATTATAATCCAAATCTATTCCCTCGGTCTTCGAATCTCGCCAAGTCCCACAATTTCAACTCACTTATGGTGTACGTCGAAAGAAACGATGGAGGAATTTTCGTTGGAAGAGCGATAGTCGAGATGGGTGGGGGCCAGAGAGGGTTGGAGAATGCAATTTGTTCCAAATTCCAGAAGCGACGCAGCGATGATTGGAGCACGGGTAAAAAGAAAGAAGGTGGGAGTAGGAGGAGGAGGAGGAGGAGAGGAGTTAGGAGAGCAACGAAGGTAGA